GCTGCCCAGACACGTCAGAGCTGAACCGCGTTTGTCTAAAATCCAAGCAGTTTAGTAGAGAAATGGGAATTCAGTCCAGGGTCCTGGCCCAGCATTCCAGACCCTCCCGGAGCTCCCTTTATGCACACACTGCCCCCCACCTAGACTGCCCTCACCCCAGGCCCCTGCCAGCCTGCAGCCCCTGTCCCTTGCCTCCAGCTGGCACACCCCACACACGATGCCTCTGTGCAGCCCCCAGGGTCGCTCGGGCTCTCCCTGAAGTCCGCAGGCCGAGGGCAAACCCAGTTCCTCCACTTGAGTTGTTCAATTTTTTTTCAATTTATATGTTTTGAGAATACACTATATTTTAAGCCTTGAAATTGAACAATTAAGTGGCACAAGATAAACATATAAAATATCTATCTTATTATAGAATATAATTATATATGATTTCTAGAAAAGCCAATAAATCAGATTCTTGACCTAGTCTGAAGAACTAGAAAGTCTTGCCTAAGGTAATAGCATTTGAGAATGTGTAAGGGCCTTGCGGTAAAAGGAAGTAAATTACTGTAAAAGAAATATTGTTTCAAAAAAAAAAAAAAAAGAAATATTGTTTCAAACCCGGTCTGGGATAAAACCTTATTGCTTTGATATAATTAGTAATCTCCTTATTTGAATAAATTAGAACTCTGATAATTGTTTAATTATTTATGGGATCAATATTGGTCTTGGGAGACCAATCATTCATACATCCATCTGACAGCCACGAGTCTGCAGACCTTGAAACTGAGTATTTTTTGTCTAATCTTTAGTCTATAAATGCCTCTACTAGGAGAGAAACTTTTAAATTGGCCCACTAGAGGTTTTTCCTATGCAGGAAGGTTATAATAAACCTCTGACATGTGCTCGGAGCTAAATTGTCTAGAAAGTTGTTGTTATTGCCTCAAGAATTCCTTCTAGGTCTATAATTAGGTTATCATCATACAGAACGCAACCAAAATGGGGGCACTGGATGTGGTGAAAAAGAAAACCAAGGGATAAGCAAAATCGAGATCAAGCAAGCAATTGTTCTTTGATATTTGGATCTTACTCATAAACACAAGATATAAAAAAGATGGGGGGGTGATCATATTTACATTTTATAGTGACCAGTTTTTCTAGGATATGATATCCAATAGGAATATAAATACGTGGGTCACCAATACAGCAACAGATTTAATGTAAATTTTCTAGCAGTTGCAGCAGAAAAAGTAAAGAGGATCAGGTAAATTAATTATATACCACAATTAATATAACCCAAGATATTGACAGGGTTTTCATTTTAACATGTAATGAATGTAAAAAATTATTTACTCAGTTGTTCATCAACTTCAACTCAATACTGTGCTCTTCTAGAATAGAAGGTGGATTGTTGAAAGTTCCAGTAACAAGGGTTTATTGTTATTTTTTACAATTTTATGGAAAACAACTTGAGAGCTTTCATTTTTCCTATAAGATTAATATAACTATAATAAGATTATAGTTCAAAATGTACTATGTTTAATTATGAATATGCTCTCTTATTGATGAGTGTCCACATTAATAAGAGATAATGGATGCTTCATGAGGAGATCCTCCACATCATTATCCAGATCATTTCTAACAAATTAAAAATAACATTGTATTCAGAAATGCAATATTTTATCTGTTAGTGCCTCCCGTCATCCAAAAAACCAAAACACAATGGAAGCTTCTTTTAAAACATCTTAGCTTATCAAAGGCATAGCATGAACAGTTTTTAAGGTAGCTTATTTCTTACAAAAATGTATGGGTTTTTTTAATGTGAAAATCCAAAAGTCTGAAATGAAAGCATCTGAATTTCTCCAAATTCAAATATAATTCACTTGGCCATTAATTCTATCAGTGCCTGAATACAATATTATGAAGAGATACTATAATTATCCCATTTTACAGATGGGAAAACTGGATGAAAGATGTACTTTTAGCAAGACTAAGGTATTACCTTGGATGTATTTACAAATTGAATCCTGAAAATATGTGTTGTACTACTGATATAATTAACTTATTATAATGACACTGTCATTGCAGCAACTAATATTTGTTCAAATTTTCCTGAGTAGGCATTGTTTTAAATGCTTTACAGATCCAAACCTAATCCCCCAGCATCCCTATAGGTAGATACGCTTACTATAAACTCCATTTTTTAAATGAGGGAATTAAAAGATAAATTCTTTAAAAAAATTTTTAGTAAGTTGAAATGCTTCACACATTGTTCTCAAGAATGTTTCAAAATAGTCTAATACATATTTTATAATTATTAGTTTATAATAATAGTTGTAAAAGCAGCTATATCTATGGAGGGCTTTGTAAATGTTGGGCACTGTTCCAGGCATTTGCATGTAATAATTTACTTGATCATCATGGTAATCTGTGAGAGGGGGGATACTATTACTATCAGTATTTTTATAGGTGAGAAACGGAGGCATCCAGAATCTGGATAAATGGGCCAACATCACACACATAAGAATGACAGCGGGATTCCTATAGTGCATGTGTCAAAATTGTATTCAAGTTTTGTATTAATTCAGTACTTACCTGGTTAGGATGAAAGGTGGAAATTTCCTTCATTTTCCAAACTGTGAATGAAGAAACGAATGCATCAATTTTGGATGATTGACCCATTTTAACTAATGCCTTCCCCCTCCACAACTGTCCTAATTCAAAAGTTTTCCTGTTTTAAAAACCAAAACCCTACGTGTATCATCCAAATGTACATTCTTATTACTGGGGTTGTAGCTCAAGATATTTCTTTTAAAAGTCTAATTTTAAAGGGAGTTTTCTTTTTCTAATCTCTATTAAAAAGTTAAGCACCACCAAAAAAATTATTTGGCTTTAACATAATCTTTTAGAACTAAAAGTTTAGTAGAGGATTTAGTGAAATATAAGCAAAGAAACACTTAATAAGCTGATTTAACTAATATCAACTTTCTATTTTATAGTAACTTTTATTTTATAATCAAGCATTTAGATAGACTAGTGAGAGTTTTCTAAAAATATTCACTGAATAAACTTCATTAAAAAGTGTATCTTGGGCCTTTAGTTAATTTATTTACTCAAAGCTATGTGGTCCTCTCTCTAAGGTATATAAAAGAAACATTTACACACATCCCTACTGATGGCACATTAATAGTATAAACAAGCAGCACCTGGGTGGCTCAGTGGGTTAAAGCCTCTGCCTTTGGCTCAGGTCATGGTCTCAGGGTCCTGGGATTGTGCCCCACATCGGGCTTTCTGCTCAGCGGGGAGCCTGCTTCCCTCTCTCTCTTCCTGCCTCTCTGCCTACTTGTGATCTGTCTGTCAAATTAATGAAATCTTAAAAAAAAAAAAATAGTACAAGCAACATTTTAAGGCTGGACACTTTTGGTGCACGGTTATTCAGTTTTTCTCCATATATAGATACCACACCTTGTTGTCAATAAATAATTCCACTTTAATGGCAAAGTAATAATTTAGACAGATACAGGGTGCACATTTGCAAAAAAATATATGCAAGCTGGTTTACAAGCTAGAGGAACAATAAACCAATAGAAAATACATCATCCAGTTAAGTCCATTGACACCAAGTACTTATTATTGGGGCTTTACAAAGACTACAAAACTTTTCAGATGATTTATTTCACTGTTTCTGCCTATTTACATGATATGTTACATCAAAAATGTACAAAATATAAAATGTATACAGACAAATGTTTCACAAACTAGTTTAAGTTGTAAACTAGGTGAACCTACTGGGATGTATTGCAGGAATTTGTGTTTATGATCATGTTTGGACTGTGTTTCTCAAAATGACAGGGAAAGATTAGCAATTTCTTTTAGATCACATATCATACAAGGGCAACTAGTCACTCATCCAGCTACATATACTGATGTTTTATGACAGCTCTGATCCATGTTTGAGGCTTCAAAGTCAGGGTGACAATTCTATGTGCATAAATTCAGTTCAGTTTTCCCTTGGGGCAATAGCACCGTGTAGGACCTATAGACTTAGCGACACTCTGAAAAGGGCTCAGAGGTCTCGTGTTGTTGTTGTTCTCTAACAACTGACCCACGGGTGGTCACAGAGAGTAGCACCAATGGCACATCACGAAAGCAACCCATCTTCGCGCGCCTAGAACAAGTCTACAGCATGGCCTAGCCCTTCGGTTCGGAAAACTCAAAACCCCGTCCTCTTGTGTGTGGTGGTAACTTCTCCCATGATCCCAACTGGTTTTCATGCACGCTCTTTAAAGCCTGCCACAACAGATGCACTTTCGGACATTTTTACTTTTCCAAAAATGTATTGGCTTCATGTACAGTTTTGAAGCATGCTCACTCTAGCACTGATAGCTCCTGCATCGTCATAACCACTGTAAATACAGGACAAACACACCAGATAATAACAGCTTTGAGGGTTTGCATTCTGTATTTGTTTGCAATGTACAGGAAATCTCAGCAAGTGAAACACCTCTTAACACCAACAGGATTAAAGTACATTTGTGTGTGTGTGTGTTTGTTTCAATTTGTGCAAGATTTTTTAAATGATTATTTACAATACCTACCCAGTAGACTGTGCAAATCTAACCTTCTTTTACAGTATAAACGCTTCCGCTTCCACAGTGACGTCACTGCTTCAGTGTTCTTTAATGCTGAATTTCTCATGTACAACGATAGTAATCAAAACAACATGCTCAAAACCAAGAGGAATAGTAAGAAGAAGAATAAAAAGAGTAGGGGAGGAAAAGCCAAATAGTTGTGCTCATGTTGCAACTAGTGCTTCCAGCTCTGCTGGGTAAGAATCCCCATTCTCCCCCCTTCTACAACTCTTTTGCCTAGAACTGGATGGAGGTGAGCCACATGTCTTTGCTTTGAAGTGACGGTCAAAGAGGGTTTCTGGGCTAATTTGAACATTTTGGAGGACAGATGATCTATTCCCAAAGCAAAAACACTGATTTTTTTTTTTCTCTTCTCCAATTCTTAAAAAAAAAAAAAAAGAAAAAAGACCCCCAAACCCCAAAAACTGAAACAGATATCTAGAGGTGAGGCTACTGTGTTAACTTGTGTTGCTTGGTTAGAAATGAAAAGACAGTGGAGATTACCAATGGTTTAGGATTTAAACCAACTCTTAAACTGTCATAGAAATCTGTTTTAAGGCAGTGAGACAGCACCATAGGAAATGTTCCTTCTTTCACTGAAAAGGCTCCAACGAATAAAGCCCTAAGAAAGCCTTTTGTCAGTGTTGACTAATAATTGGTATAAAACTCTTGTTAAGGGAGTGGGCAGGTGGTTTAAAACAACCTTATAAAACCTGTGGTAAAAACAACCTTATAAAACCTGTGACTCATACACGAGAAAGTTGGCGGAGCACATCGTGTGAACGTGGCAGTTAAGAATGACATTGGCACGTCTCCAGCTTGCCGTGCTCGCGTCTGCCGGGCGGTGGCGCGATTCCGCTTGTGCTGACGGAGGACTGGCCTCTTGGCTTCCTTTCCGACTGGGGTGAGCGCACAGCACAAACGCTGCTGGAGCCCTGTAACCAGCACCATGTGGCACGAGGGAGGCTGGACGGAGAAGGAGGGGCCCCGCTCGGGGAGGACGGGCCCCCCTCAGAGGAAACGAAAGGAAGGGACAAAGAAAGGGCTGCATTGTAAACTTTTAAAGAGGAAAAAACAGAAAGTCCAGTTTGGCTACCCCATGTGCAATCTATTCAGTTGCCCTGTCCTTAGGGTCCTTTCCAGTCGAGTAATGGAGCCGGACACCACTCCACGGATATAAAAAAATGCCTAGAAATAAAATAAAGTTAAGCTTGCGTTTCAATCGAGCATCTTGGCGGTTCAGACTTCGCTCTGCTCCTCGGAGACCACGACTCTGGGTCAGGGCCCTTGACAGGGTGCTTTCATACTGGCAGTGGTTTCGTGAAAATACCTTCCTTCCTTGTTAAACCTTTAGCAAAAGCATCCTCTCTTCCCCTAACTTCTTTCACCCCCTAGAGAGTAGATTCAAGAGATGAATCTAAAATGTCGTCATGGTGGCTGGTGCTATCGCTGTCACAGCTTTGTGTGCCCGAGTAATTGGCTGCTTCTTGGAGTTTCATTAGCATATTCATCTGAAGAAAGAAAAAGAGACATCGATGTAGGCAGTGATGCAGTGAGCGAGCCAGCCCCATAAAACACACGGCCCGGAGCCACACGGAGGCAGCGCGCCTCATCCCATCCGAGGGAGACGGGGAAACAATGTCAGGTCTGCATGAGTCGCCTCCGGCTCCTATCCCGGTTCTGCCCGAACACGGCTACGACACCAAACCATAAGGACCAAACAGGGCCTCTAGATAGCTCTTTTATTTGGGGTTGTGAATGAATACGGCTCCAGCAGGGAGACTGGGAAAGAAACTGTATCACAGCTGGACATCTGGGCTCGTTGCTGGAGAGCACGCCAAGCTTCTCAGCTTTTTGGCGCGGAGAAGCAGAAAGCATTGAATGGCAAGTGAAAGTCGTGGATGTTCATACACACACAGACGCGCACGCGAGCGCGTGCACACCCTCCCGCGAGAGAAGGAGGGGATGGAGTGGAATGACGCCAGCTGCTGCACACAAACGCACCATCTGCTGTTTAGGGGCTGACCTCGAAAGGGGTCACTGAATGAAGCCGACCATGAGTGTTTGAGGAGGGAGAGGGAGAGGATCACTGTCAAGTTTCTGTTGTTGTTGAATTTCTGGCTAAAATATGATTGATCTATCACTGAAAACAAAAGCCACCTTCTGGAACAATAGCAGCTGTCTCGGGTTTCCCCGTTGATAGGACAATGGTAATGTTTGTTCCAGAAAAAGGGACATACGCCTGAAAGCACCTGGGGAGAAAGACAGCTAGTGTTTCCATGTACTACAAAATAAAAGGCAGCCAGCTTGCTGGCTTTTGATAGATATGCAGATCCACTGTTAGAGGAAAAAGGAAAGATTGCTTAAAAGCAAATTGTGGATAACCTGTTCAATGATTTTATTAGAAAGTGCAGGAAAACTGGCACGGGTCTTCAAGAAAGAAGTAAGACTTGTTTTCTTGTCGAGGGTTTCTAGAAGTGGTCCTAATCTTTATATTATTTAATGCATAGTCATTTTATTATTTTATAAAGTAATCCAAGTTGTTCCTTTTTTTTTCTTTCCCAAATTAGAGGACTGGAGAATCTGATTCAATAAAAAAGAGAAATCTAAAAAAAGGATTCCTTAGACATATGTTAGGTGATGGATACTTGTGTGTTCTGTGTAAAATGCATGTTCAATAAATGCTTGTGAAATAGATGATAGATGATAATAACAGTTTTAGCAAGCAGGCCTTTCTGACAGAGGCTACAGTGATAGCATATTTTAAAGTCATTTTAATATTCTTCAAGACAACATTTTTCAATATAATTGTTAGGCTAACTCTCTGAATTTATTAAATCAGCTATATACAGACATGAAATGAAAGTAGTTAGTGACAGCCTATCAAACCCAATAAAGCAAAAGCCAAATGTCTCCATAAACATGTACTTTCTCTCTCTTCTTATCCCTCTCTCTCTGTCTCTCACCCACAACCCCCCCCCCCTTTCATGCACATTCATATTTCCTCCCTCCTTTCTGATGTCAGTTCCTCCATCATTAGTCACTGGCTGTATGTTCAAGCATTTGGGTGAAGATAATTTGTAAAAGACCATTGTGTGTTGAGTGTCCTCCTGATTTACTAAGAGTAGAAATTGTAAATGAGGTCTATTTTGAGGGTTATGATTCTAACCACAGTGAAATATTTGAAATCACTCGAATGCTGAATGCTGTAGAAGTTTTATGGTATAATAGAAGCATCTAAAGTCTTGATTTTTTAAAATGGTGCCATATAGTAAATACACTTTATTAGACTAAGTTCCAAGTATTAGATTCATAATAAATGTACACATGGGATTTAATTTGCCTTCTCATAGTGTTGCTTTGTGCATTCAAGTCAAAGGGGATTATAAGAGGGGCCAAGGTTACAAATATGATCCAAGTCACTGGGATAGATCATTATTCTCTGCAAAAGAATGTCCTTCCTCTCCTCTCCTCTGCTTTCCCCACATTCACAATCATAAAAATAATGTCTAGCATTTGTAACACATTGCTCAGTTCCTTATCACCTCTGCTATTACCAATCTGCTGGGCTCCTAGCCTCCATCCTCTCTTCTTTAATCTGTCTTCTGCTCTGTTACCAAAGAGATATTTATAACCTGCAAATCCAGCTAACATAAGTCCCCTGCCCAAACACCTTTGATAGCTCTTCATTATCTGTGTGATAAATTTTTTACTTCCTACATAGATAAACAAGACTTGGCAGACTTTTGTAGCTCTATTTCTTCTTGGAGACTTTTGTAGTTCTAACTTTTCTTGCCCTTTTTGTTCTAATCCCATCAATCTGCAGATAGCATTTTTATTCATATTCATTTTTCTTACTATGTTCTAAATTCACCTGCTGCTTCCTTAATTTTGGATGTTCTCCATCCAATCACATGATGGAACATCTGTTCTTCCTTCTAGACGCAGCTCAAGAGTCTCCTCCTTTATAAAGCTTTTTCCTAATCACTTCCTCAGTGGACTCACAACTTTGTCTAGCATGTGACTCTACCATTATTTTACTGTAATTTATATAGGTAGACGTCTCTTTCCAGTAATGAACTGTGAGCTTCTTGAGACCAAAAATGGTATTTTATTTATCTTTTTTATTTATCTACCAATTCTTAGCCATGAGGATATACTTATTAATACTTGTTGAAAGAATGAATGCGTTTGTTGATGAGGAATAAAATACTGTGAGATGCACCAAAAACTTGTATCCTTGTTCATATCCAACATATTTCTGACATTAAATAGTGGATTTTTCCCAAATATTTTTGATTTAGATTGGACTGCAAATATATTTTTACTCGATACCAGTAATTATAGAACTATAACAAAATAAAAGCAGATAGAATATTTATTTTCTTATCAGAAGGTGCCTGATCCAAAGATTTACTTTTAGATGATAAGCCGTTTGTTATTTAGCACACCATAATCTCCTGTTTCTTAAGATGTTTAGTTGAGCAGCCATTTAAGAATCAGATTTTTTAACCCCAGTTTTTATTCAGTATGGGAGACTCTGGATCCCTTTTCTGTACTAGAAGACAAGAGCATTCAGGGACAGGGAAGAGTGCTAGATGGGTTTAGCTGATCAGAACCGGGAAGTTGAGGGCATCCCGTAAGGGTCCCTTACTCGACAGTTTAATTTTTCAAAACAAACTCTATAAAGCTTCTCCTTACCTGGAACAGACACAGTATATCAACACACAAAGGCAAGAATAGAGTTTATAAAATTCAGATGTAATAACCCATACTTGTATCCTAAAGTTAATATTTTCTCTTAAATATGAACCATTCTATAGGCAATTAATTAGTATTTGCTCACAATTATGCTGCATCTAAACCAATTCTTCCATTACTGTTGATTTCAAGTTATGTATGAGCTAAAGGGCCAACTACCTGTTAGAAAAAGAAAGATCCAGGCCCTTAAGGATTTTATGGTCTAGAGCAAAAGTCCAATTTGGAAGTCCTTTATGAGTTCTCTGAACTCTAAGCAGACCTTTGTAAATATTTCCATTACTCTATGGAACCCTTTGAAATAGTATGCACAATTTTCTGCCTGCGTGTGTGTGTGTGCACGCCCACATGTCTTTTGCCCTGGAAAAGATCTTAAAAATCTATCATCTTGTTCACATGTAACCACCAAAATATTAAGACTGGTCAGCTGAGATGATAATGTATATATGTTGGGTTGTGAGTATACTAATATCCCAAAAAATATCAAATCACATTATGTTCTTGGGTATGTCACAGGTTATGATTTTTAATAATTTCCTTTTTTGTTTTAAATAACATAATGGCCTTTATTTCAGTATTTTTTTCTGTATTGATTGTACAGGTCCAGTGATTTCTGTAACCATAGAATGGTAAGCTAATAAATGCATTACACCTGATACCAATCTATACAAATTCATCTATAAACATGAAAAAATACATGAAAAATAAAATATTTTTCCTAATAATACTACTTACTTAATATTCTCAGAGTACTCATAGTTTGGAGTTTTATTGACCTTTATTAAACCATACAGAACTATAAATTAAGAAAGACAGGGAGAATCAGGGAGAATAACTTCCCTTTGATTTCCAAGTCAGTTTAGTCTTCTCAAATGTAGGCAACAAAAGACTAATTATAAATCTAGTCAGACTAGTTGATATATGTAAAATATTATATTAAGAACAAAATCTGGTTTTCTCTTAAATACCTAGTGAATCGAGTCATGTAATGTTGAAGACTTATGAATTTACATAATTTCCTGCATAATAAAAAATAAAAATTATGGTCTCAGAGTTCAGCCTGATTTTAGTGTTTCTTGATTGTTAAGCATACAAGTTTGGTCTTTCATTTTTAAGAATTTAACCTAAGGAAAGTAAGCCAAAGGAAAAAGAGTTAAAAACAGAATACCTGTATCAGAGCAGTCCCAAATACCACCTAAGATAACTAGTATCTTTGATACAAATGACTAAATATTGATGACAACATACTGTAGTTAAGATTATATTAGAAGAATCACACATCAGCTTCTTACCAGAGGATCCCCTTCTGTGTCACTTTGTGGAATGTGCTTTGAGGTTGTGGCTTCCTTAGTGGATATGCAGCCCTCATACCCAACATCTTCTGGTCTCAACTGAAGTAATGCTGGACCATCCTGAGGCAGAGATGCTGAGCTCCATGGGTATGTATCAAGCACCCACTTTGAGGGGTCTTCCCAAGGTGCCCGTTTCCCATACATCTACAAAATGATTACATATTTAATACATATCTAATACATTCCTACTCAGTAAAAAAGGTGAACACTAATTGAGTGATTCCTTTGCACATTGAGTTCTTATGGAACTTTCAAGAGACTTGTGTCCATATACAATTTTCCAGTTTGTAAATATATGTCTGTCCACCTAACTCTCTTTAAACTTGAAGGAGAGATAAAATAAAGATGAACATTTGGGATAGATAGTCAGCATTTGGGAGAGAGTACAAAGGGGATTTATTTTAAATGCATATAGAATTCACTGCCCATATTTATCTTTATTAGTGATTTTGTAAACCAAAAGAAAACTCACAGTTGAGGAAGGAAAGTTCCCGTGATGGAGAATTGAAGAAAGCTATGCTAGTTACAAAACAGAGTTCTCTACTAAGGTGCACTTTGCAAAGATGATAAATACAATAAGAGAATTTCTCTTTTTCAACCTCACTCTACTCCAAGTTTCTTTGAAAATAAAAATAATTTCTCTGATAATCATTTTCTCTGGATTAATTTCCTCTAATAATCTCATTGGTTCCCGTAAAAACTCTTTTTAGATGTTTATTTATAAGGCCAACAGTAAAAGAAGAGGAAAATGGAAAATGAAAGCATTCATGTTGTCAGGACCCAAAAGGAAGCAAAGAGTCAGTAAGAAAGAGATGATAATGGCTCAAGTACTGGTAGTGGAGGAAAGGGGAGAAGATGAATGTAAGACATGTTACAAATTTTTAATTAGGAAGGGCACACTGCAGAAACAGAGGTGGAATGGACTTTATAAACAAGTACCAGGCTGCAGGGGGACAGAAAGAAAAGCTAAAATGAAGAGAAGAGGGCAGTAACATGGGCAAACTAGGTCTTTGATGTACTTCCCTCCCCTGCCTTGACCTCCTCCTCCCTCCCTCCTACAAGCCTGGTTACCAGGTGCATATATGGTCTCAGCACACTGGGAGGTGTTCTACATGGCCTACTGTGGGTCAGTGATCAAAAGCAAAATGGTGGATACTGACACCACAGAAGGCACATGAATTGCCTTGGAGTTACCTTTCAGGTTTCTCCCAGAGGAACTGTATGAGGTTGTGTCAGCCTTGCCTTGAGATAAAGAGAAAGAAAGAAAGAGACAAAGAGAAAGCAAGCAAGCAAGCAAGCAAGCAGGCCAGGTCCTGATATCTGCATATCCCTTGGGAGATGAAGGCAGGAGTAGCAATCACTATCACTATATAACAGATATATAGTTTTTATGGCTAGCGAGAGTTTTGAAGCAAAAGTTTTTCTTAGTTAAAAACCTACTTTATAACGCTAAAGACACAGCTTGCCATACAACTTAAGCTAACTGAAGGAAAATGTGTCATTCTTGGAAAGTAAATTTTACACAAAAAACATGAAGGTCTAGAATCAACTGATGCCAGCCCTTTAAAGAATCATACAAGACAGCAAAATTGAAGGTGACCAATAAAATGCTCAATAGGTCCAATACTAAATTTCAGTGTAGAACAGATATTATAGAAAAAAATTGAAAGAAGATTTAAATATTAAAATATTATAAAATTATAAAATATTAAATATTTAAATAATTAGAATAATATAAATTTGCTGTTGCCATTTCGATAAAGGTAGAATCATCAGAATGAAAATCAGAATCCATTTTATCACCAGTGTTTTCTTCCAACTAGAACATCTGGCAGAGAGCATTCCCTATGGTTCCTCATCAGAGCATGCATTTGAAAAGAGATTTTTCTATTCCACTCAACTCAGAGTTTCATCTTTGCAAGAAGACTTTGTTTTTCACCTCTTGCTCCAATTCAAGGTTCTTTGTTACCAGTAGATCCAAGGGAATTGTTCGTAACACACATGATTCCTTTTCTTCCTTTTCTTACAGAAAAACATACATGGACCACCCCAGGAATATCATCTGCCAATGGGCCTGTGGCTGAGCACATCCTTCAGTAGCAATGAGAAATGTCTACCTATTTTTCTTATCTCTCCTGGGTACTGGGCTTCCCCCCTACATTCCCTACACATTACGGTTGATTCAGCATTTACACTAACCGACTACTAAACATCTAGAACCACAAAGAGAAACGAGACATTTTTTTCTCCTCTTCAAAAATAATTTTGAACTATCTCTTAGTTTTCGTCTGGAAAACCGGTATTACTCTAAGGGTTATACTTTTGCCTAAATGGAAGCCGTATAAAATTCTAATTCTCTGGATAGTGTTTTAAAAATAATATTGACTTAAACATTTTTAAAAAAAGAACTGAAGCAGTTTTTTAAAAATTAGACTTAAGGAAGCTAAGCAGTGTTAGGTATTGCTATTTTTGAGTTTACACAGTCTTCTTTTTCTTTATCTGTATTAGCAAACACATGGGAAATAAAGAGATTTTATATGTAAAAACTTGGATGACAGCTTATTAATACTGAAACTATATGAAGAGAACTTTCATTTATGGAGTATTATGCCTCCATCAGAAAGGATGAATACCCAACTTTTGTAGCAACATGGACGGGACTGGAAGAGATTATGCTGAGTGAAATAAGTCAAGCAGAGAGAGTCAATTATCATATGGTTTCACTTATTTGTGGAGCATAACAAATAACATGGAGGACATGAGGAGATGTAGAGGAGAAGGGAGTTGAGGGAGATTGGAAGGGGAGGTGAACCATAAGAGACTATGGACACTGAAAAACAACCTGAGGGTTTTGAAGGGGTGGGGGGTGGGAGGTTGGGGGAACCAGGTGGTGGGTATTGGGGAGGGCACATATTGCATGGAGCACTGGGTGTGATGCAAAAACAATGAATACTGTTATGCTGAAAAGAAATTTAAAAAAATAATAATAAATAAATAAATATTGGTTTAAAAAATATGACTTCTAGCATATTATAAACTTTCACATAAATTTCTTTTTTGTATAAAATGATTGACACTGAGAAATTCAACTCACACCTTAGCATAACAGTTTCAGAGGAACCCAGAAAAGTGAGATGTTATATTTAAAAAATATAAACCTTTGGTATAGTCTTTTATTTTATTGGAACCAAACAACAACTGGCTCATAGCCTTCAAATAGGAAACTGTATTACTTAAATCTGGAATAAAACCAGTAGATAGCATGCTCTAGGATCATTATCTCTGAAGATTCTGAGCACATCTTCCAAATATTTATTCATCGTGTTCACCAGAACCATCATGATGGTTCTAAATACTGCCATTCTGCTCTCCTAGGTGAGGACAGTGGGCCGCTCAAAGGAAAGGATAGGAAGGAGTATAGATCACCAGTGACTTTTTAAAGGGTAAATACCTAATGCACTATTGCAGATGACAAATGTGAAAAGCAAGAACTGTATCTTAATTCTAGTAGCAGTTGCAATAATCAGAGATAGAGATGCCTAAGCAAAAACTTCCTAAACTTTGGCCGAGTTGTAGAAAAGATTAAATTCTTTACAATAAGCTGGATGATTATGAAGTAAAAATCTTAAAAATTCAACCTTGAGGTTTACAATTCTACAATTTCATGAAAGCTCAAATCCAATTTGAGGAGATAGTAAATTTTGTCGAGAAACAGAATTTTCTTATTAGTGACGTATTTTGAATTTTCCATTAAGAGTACGTAGAATAGACAGCGTAGGGCCTCATGACATGAGGTAGGTGAGAGGAACGGCAGGAATGCTGCTAAATCAACCTGCCATAGATTTTAAAAAGTCAATTGCCTTAGAATGTAGAGCATTCCCTCAAAATAGTAAAGGATCCTACAAGTGAGGTTAAAGGGTTTCAAACAATGAAACATACTAAAAACAGGGAACCAGTAAGCAGAAACTACTTGTTGCAAACTATATGTTAAGAGAAGAAATGATCAAGGTCCATTTAACATGTCTGTCTTATAAGATACAGAACTGTCCAATTAGCTGGCTTTCAACTGATTGCTAATTCCCATGGCAATAAGTTTGTTTGGCCTTAAATGGGTAGTTGTTGGAATAAAGGTTTTCTCCTTCTCCCACATATTTGTTTTCAGAACAGAATACACAATAAATAGTTACATACTAGTTGATCTTTAAAACTTGACCAATATGTTTATATAGTTCATGCCTTCAGTTTCTGTATAAATACCCAGAGAAAAGAATGTTTTTTGCTTTAAAGGATGATTTTGCTTGTTTTTAAACAGTAAAGAATATTGAATACTATACCTGAAGACCTTCTCTCACTGCCTCCAGAATGTAAGGTACCAAAGAATAGTTCCAGAGATCCATGAACCACACTCTAGAACCTTCTACATCCATAGGGCAAGGAAGGAAAAGTCGGGGGCCTAAGAAGAAGCAAACCATTTTGAGAACCATTACATGTAACAACCTAAACACATAAATATTTGCGACATAATTTGGGGGGAATTAATAATATATCTTGCAGGATTCTTAAACAATTACAATCTTAGCCATCTTGATTATTATCAAAGTATGTTTTTCTGAAGACTCAAACTCCTGAACTCCTCTTCCTTTTACCCTAAAATCTTAACATAAGAACATAACTTATTAGAATTAAGAGAAACCCTAAAGGTCATAATCCAGTCAACCTGCCTCATTTTATAGATGATGAAACTGTGCTGAACTAAATTCCCAAGTACAAAATATGTTATTATTTGCAGAGTGGGACTCAGCTTTGGTCTTTGATCTCAATTATCAAATTCTTCTTTTTCATTTACCTTGTATCTTTGGTGAACATATCTTTATAATCCAGCAAAATAGGAAAGAGACTTTTATACATGCAATTTAAGAAGGATTAGAAAAATAAACATTTTTATGCCAACCAAAGAGAATTAATTCAGTTTTGCCTTGATGAAAAATGTGAAACACCTCAGTTATCCATAAAACACCTAAATTATCTCTAACTAAAATCTTCTCTCATAACTATATTTGATGTGAATCATGGGCTAAAATTTTTTTTTATCATAAAAAGGGAATTTAAACAGATATAACTTATTTCAAGTGGTTATCTGATTTTTAAATATTTGGCTATATTAAACTCACGTGATTTCAGTCAAATCTTAGAAAACCATAATTGTCAGGCATAATGAATCTAATCAGACATATAAAGCTTAGAAGAAGGCAAACTTTCAGAAGGAAAAAAGAAAACTTAAATCTTTGGGAGCATGAAAAAAATTAGCTTTGCTTGTTATTTTCTACCATCCAATCTGGCTATCTTACCACGTACTCTTAGTTCCTGGAAAATGGCATATTGCATCTTTGGAACTCACCAATGGTAACATCAGAAGAACTGTGTGTTTCCAAAAAACTGTTGAGATGATGCCATGTCTTAGGAATCCAATCTATAATTTTGACTAAGTCATTATTGCGTATATTCCTTTCAATCTCTATCTCTATCAGTTTCCTTCGAAGGTATCTACCTAAAAAGCCTTTCACTGGTTCTGTGTGGTTTGCACATAGCACCCACCTACAAAAAGACAAAAAAAAAATTATATATATATATATATTCAGAAATCTTTAAATAAAGTTTTAAGTCCACAGTATTCTCTTTCCAATATAAATAAAGAATGTTCCTGTGTCAATTGGTGGCTCATTTTAATGATCAAAGGGGTTAGGAGATCTCTTAGCATTAGAGGTATACAAAATAACTTTTCTTTTTAAGCTAAAGCAAAGCTCATGTGCGTCAGAAGTGAGTGGGAGTCTACACACTGAGTACTCTTCTGTAGGAGAATCACAAATCCTGAAATAGGAACTCTCTTCACATTCCTCACACTTTGAAGAAAAGTGCTCTACTTTAGCTGGTGACATAGCGAGCAGGACAAACATTTCTTTCCCTTCCTTTCTTTTTTCTTTTCTCTTTCTTTCTTTCTTTCTTTCTTTCTTTCTTTCTTTCTTTCTTTCTTTCTTTTTTTTTAAAGAAACAATTCCAATTACAAGTTGAAGATCACAAAATGTCTGCTTGAGAAAGAGTGTCAGAAGAAGTGAGAATTACTTTCACACCACAGGTCACCACTGGCAGGATCTGTCAATGTACAAATGGAAAAACACTAACCAAAAGCAAACAGAAAGAGACAATACAACAAAACAAAACAAAGCATTCAATTTATCTTTACCTGAAATTGTGATGCAGCTCTAGATTTGGTGATGAAGAAACTCCCTGATTCATTGTTCCAATAATATATGGACTGGAAAATAAAATTAAATACATTGATGTGCTGAAGGTAGAAGAGATTAGCCTATTAAAATCGCCTTAAAAAACAATGTAGGTAAATATGGATTATTCCAATTAACATTAGGCTTTAAAAGGGTGATTTTGTAATGTTAGGTGGAAAAATAACAAAGATCATTGAGCTGGAAATTTGGATTTGGGCTTCTAATTTCAGCTCTAGCATCCTAGGAGAATCATTTTACATTTCTGAGCCTGAGTTTACTCATCTATAAAATAAAAAGGTTAGATGGAATAATCACAGTAATCTCATTTTACTCTTAACATCTTGTGACTCTTATGATTATAATCAAATTCATTAGTTTTCCCTCTTTCATTATTTCATAGATATTTTAAAGTTTCTTAATGACGAGAACATTTGTATTCTTGTTTCAAAGCTGATCTTACGATGATCTACTTTTAACATATAAAAAATCTCTAGCAGAGATTAATAGGGATATGGCACCATTAAAACTAATATTTAGGTTGCTCTTATATGTCTTTCCTTTAAAGGCCATCTTTAGTGGGTTTTCAGATTTTTTTATACCCTACTTCAACCTTTACTTTCATTGTAAATAGTTAAAAGTTAGACTCATTAATGATGATATATCTGAATGTGTTAAATTTATCTTTACAGAAGGTTGAATTTAAACTTCGATATGGAGGAAAAGTGAAACCAGAGCTCAGAGCTTCATTTTAATTCTTAATTTCCTTGATCCAAATGTTCTGTCATTGACATTGGTCTCCCAGACCTTCCACATATCCATAGAAGCTAACGCCATCAAGTAAATCATGTTTCCATAAAAGTTGCTTGGAACATAATTGCTGAATGAATAAATAGATGTTTCAAGAAATGCACAGGGATTTTTTTTTTTGGGGGGGAAATATGTTCTAATATTAATGAAGTCTTCTTAAATTCATGGCATCCACCATAGGTTTAAAAAAGATATAAAGACATTAGAAACAAATCTGGTCATTTTTTTCATATTTCATCACTCAAAATATTTCATAAGCATACCATTTGTTGTATTTACAGTTGAGAAAACCATTGAAGATATCACTCAAAGAGCCCACATGATGAAGATTATCAAGAATTATTACAACAGGGAGCTCTACACCATTATTATCCGCACTGCACTGTTCAGCCAGGTTAGCAAGATACTGTTGCAACTCCTTGGGAAAAAATAAAGGAAACAAATACATCAATGATCGATTTATACCAATGGCAAACAATTCATACTTTAGGAATAGCACACTTTGTCTGCCATCCAGTAACTTTGATTAAAACCCATAGGTCATGGTGCTGATATAAAACAAAGCAAAGAAATATAATACTGAGAGGATATATTTTTTAAAGAAAAGAGCAAAGAGAAAAGCCAATACAGGACAGCTGCTGCAAATAGAAAATTTTGAAAACAAAAGCATGTTTCTCAGTTGTTGTGTTCCCTTAAAAAAAGAAAAAAAAAAAAAAAGAGGGGGCAGTGAGTTCTGCATATGAGCTCTTATAATAAACCACAAATACTGAGACTTCATTCTTGCTTTTGGTATTACAATGATAAAAGTGGATTTCAGCAAACCTTATAATAAATCCAAGAAGGCACACCTAAATTTCCACTAATACTTTAAATGTTTTAATTCTAGTTCATTTCAATAGGGTACATGAATTCCCAGCCCCAGGACTTAGAGAGATGGATGGCTATTATTTATAATGTGTATGCAACTTCTGTGATTTTAAACAAAGACAAAATTTGTTGTAGTTCCCTGGGTCACTTGACATTAGCATTTAGCATTTCTTGAGCTTATTGGGTTTTTTTTTAAAGGTATTATTCCTTTCTAATAGCTTTTAATCTAAACATGATAACTAGTTCATTGACTGACTGCTCTCACAGATGGGTAGGCCAGACACATAATTAGGTTTCTTAAAATTATCCTAATCAGTAAGAACATTTCCATAATATTTGCGTATTTACAATGACATTTTCAATTTGTAAATCCTGGTCAGGGTTAAAACACAATTCCACGATTCCAATTTCTGGCAGGCAGGTAGGTGAATATGGATACCACTTATCCTAGAGGCCTCCTCCCTCTGTCTGTAGTACTACTTTTAGAACTAAAAGAAGAAAAGGTTAAAAAACAGTGGCCAGGGTTTTGAGACATTTAGTAATATATTAAGTTCAAATATAAAATTTATTAGAAAACTAATGCACTGGATATCTTACATTGAGCCAATCACATTGAACAAATATAGCCTAAATCAGAGAATACAGAAAAATATGCTTAAACTAATGAATAGTCTGGAGAATTTCATTCATCTTAAAAGACAAAAATGGAATTTATATCAATAATTTACCCATGTTAAGTCATTCATTCATTTATAAAACACTGACTGCCTATCTTCTACATTCATCGCTCTAGACAATCCCGAGGTGTACAAAAATAATGGATCATCATTCAAGTTAGTAAGTTGAACATTAATTATGACTGAATCAAGTACTTTTCTTGGCATAGGTGTTAAAAAGATTTCCCTGGTAGGCTTTAAGATGGTCACATTAAGTACTAAAATTTAAATATGATAAATCATTTGAATATATCATCATAATATATTATGAGCTATGAGAGGTCAGGAAAGATTTTGCCTAGGTGGCAGGTTTCAAGGAAAGCTTTCTAGAGAAGGAAATGCTGGAGCTTGGGAGGGTGATACATAACTCATGGTTATGGTAGGTACATACATAACTAATGGTAGGTACATACATAACTAATAAATGTACAAAATGCAATACAAAACATCCCATTAGAGAGGTTAAAAGGGGAGTCGTGGTCTGTAGGAAGAAGAAAGATTAATTCCAAGAATCCAGGGGGATCCTGATGGACTTACATAGCGAGGTGAAATTTGAGATGAATTCTGAACAGTGAGTAGAATTCTAAATGATAATTGCGCAGTTATTTATCCTTTCCAAACACCTTAGCAAGCACTTATTATGCTCCAGGTACTCTTGGTATTAAGGATTCAGAGAATATTTCTCCATTCCAGGAATTTAGAATTGATAAGCAGAAAGGCAGTTCAAAAAGTAAACCACAAAAACAGTGTGGTAAGTTGAAATGCACAAAACACTATAGGGAAACTTAAGAGAGGCACCTCATCCAGACTTGTTCAGAGAACAGGGTCCTTGGGGACAAACTATTGAAGTACAAATAATAAAGAGTGAAAGCTGGAAGGTATGAGTGTGTGATGTGTTCGGGGAAAAATAAGTGCTCTGTTTTTATAAGAGAAATTGTGCATGGCAGTGGTATTGCAATGAAAAAGAAGATAGACTTTGAATCCATGCAGAAAAATTTCGATCTTTCTACATAAACAAATGTGAACCAACAACTTTTTTTTTTTTCAGTAGGGAAAGAGCAATTTATTTATCAAAGGTAACAGAAATACCAAAGAGATAATGATTAATTAGAAATGGAAAAGCATTCAAGAAGCTTATTACCCAGAATACCGGGTTACGTGTGTGTGTGTGTGTGCGTGTGTGTGTGTAAAAAACCAAACTGTAATTCACAGTAGAAAAAACAATGTAGGGTGCCTAGGTGGCTCAGTGGGTTAAGCCTCTGCCTTCGGCTCAGGTTGTGGTCTCAGGGGTCCTGGGATCGGCCCCCCTGTTGGGCTCTCTGCTCAGCGGGGAGCCTGCTTCCCCCTCTCTCTCTGCCTGCCTCTCTGCCTACTTGTGATCTCTCTCTCTCTGTCAAATAAATAAATAAATAAATAATCTTTAAAAAAACACAAAAAACAATGTATCTGTGATGCCTGGGTGTCTCAGAGGGTTAAGCACCTGCCTTCAGCTTATCCCAGGGTCCTGGGATCCAGTCCCTCATCGGGCTCCTTGCTCAGTGTGGAGCTTGCTTCTCCTTCTCCCTCTGCCTCTCTCTCTGCCAAATAAATAAATAAAATCTTTTAAAAAATAATGTATTGGGGTGCCTGGGTGGCTCAGTGGGTTAAAGCCTCTGCCTTCAGCTCATGTCATGATCCCAGGGTCCTGGGATCGAGCCCCACATTGGGCTCTCTGCTCTGTGGGGAGCCTGCTTTCTCCTCTCTCTCTGCCTGCTTGTGATCTCTGTCTGTCAAATAAATAAATAAAATCTTAAAAAAAATAATGTATTACAAAAGCATACATGAAAGATTTTGTTCAAAGCATGTAAACTTTATTTGTACTGCCGAAAAAGACTTTCTGGTGGTAGTATTATTTTCTACTAACCTTTTATTTTTAGGATTAGGTAATGTTTTGACGCTTAAAAATGGAAGAAGAACTTTCCAAATAGAGGGAAAAAAGTAATTAAAGGCAGAAACATAAAAAAATGTGGTAAGAAAGAAACTAGTAGTATATGTTTTGTGAATATAAATAATGTTAAGTAAGTTGGAAAGAAGTGTTTGCAACCTGATATGATTTGAAAGGTTACTGGATTTTTCCTACTGGCAGCAAAGAAACAATGAATGTTCTGTGTGGGGTCCTGAGTAATGTAGTCAGAATCATGATTTCAAAATGTGGTAAGTATATTGTAGAGGAGAAGAGGAACCAGTCAAGAGAATAACAAAACTGCTGAATCCAAGAGAAAATATGGGACTCAATAGGGATGGTACAGGTGTGGGAAGATTTTGACTTTGTACAGAAAAGAATAGAAAAATGTTGCAAGATTTAATGCAGTCGGACTTTATAATGAAAAGATACTATATTTTTCATGAGATGAAGGGAAAAATGAGAAAGAGAGAGAAGGAAGATTTAACAGAAGTTGTGAATCAAGCAGTTAGAAAACAGTTGCTGTCATCCAAGTGATAGTGTTAATTTTGGTGGGAGGGTGATGGTAGCGGAGATGGATGGAAGAAGATGGATTTGGTGTTTTTTCAGAGCTGAACCTGGGTTTTCTAAACTTGTGTACTTGGTAGAAACATATCTGTATGCTAAGGGAAAGGCCTACTATTCAGGAGGGTGGACATGGCTAACAGTGTCCAATGTGAATCAATGCAAATTGAAATGAGGGGAGTCATCCAGGTGAGAACAGAAGTGGAAGAGAACAGAATGTTGGGTCATCTTTTCATTTACCAGTAGGTGAAGGAGACTGAGAAGGAGCTTGCTGGAGGGTAAGAATGATAATCTCGAAAATTAGAGGAATTTCTAGAAAGGGAGGATTGTCTATAGCAATTTGCTATCCATAAGCAATAAAGAGAGAAAGAGAGAGAGAGGGAGAGATACAGAGAAAAGAAGCAAAGGGCATTGAACTTGGTAATTAAGACATCACTGAGGGATTGTGGGAAAGTAGGGCTGTTCGATTCTCATGATTCTCTCTCATCTTGAGAAGGGCAGTAGTCCTCTTCGGGAATCTAATGAAAGCTATGGACCAGTTGCAAGTGGACAAAGTCATACACAAATAATTTTGTCATATAACTTGAGTTTTTCTCAGACCTTTTTGAAATCACTTTATAACCCCCACTACTACTTAACTGGGGTTCAATCTTAGATCGAAGTATTGATGCATTAGCATTAAACTTTTCATGTCCAAGATCTAATTAGGCAAAAGAAAACAGGTATATCTATCAGAGGGACATTGATAATTAGATGAATCCCATACTCTAAAAATATATGGAGAAATCGGCAGTTCTGTAAAAGCTGTTGATCATTGCCTTCTCTGGTTTTGACTCTAGACCCAAAAAAATGAATCTGCCAAGACCAGTTTTCTGATCTTTTCCTACATAACATTCCAAGTGTTTTCATCTGGCCACATATTATTTACTAAATCCATCTCTAGCCTTCTGGGCTCACTATATCAAATGTCATGAAGTGTAATTGTTTATGTGTACTGCTCTCGATCAAAATATCCCAGCTGGCAGCTCGAGGGAGGGCTTCGAGAGCGGGAAGAGGGACAGAATGTAAAATGCAGGGGGTACCAAACACATGAAAAGATTTTTTTTTTCTTTTGATGGTTTTATTGCTTGACGTTTTTTTGAATCCATAAGTGTTTTTTTGGCTTTGTCCCTTCATTGCTTCCTATAGCCTAGCATATCGCCCGTCAGCCATGACAAGGCTTCATTTTTCAGGGACAGGATTTATTACTTCATGCCTCATTCCCACTTTACTTTAGTAAATCTACACTGCGAGCAGCTGTCCCTCAGACAGTCTCAACTACTCATCCCC